AGTCGATGCTCAGTAAACACTTGCTGAGTGAATGAATGAATCCCACCCATGAAGGGTAACATTCTGTGACATGCAATTCCGAAATTCAAAAAGGCTCCCACATCGGAAAGTGTTTTCCCAAATGTGTGTGCCTCGAGGTTTTTATTCATCCCACCTAACAAGAGTACACTGATGGTTTCCAATATATGATTACAGCCCCCCTGGAGGGTACCCCTGAGCACACGGCATAAGCCCACCTTTCTCATTCTCCCAAATTCCAGATTTGGAAACACAGCCGGCCCCGGGGGTTTCCATGCACATCGGTGCCTTGGGATCTATGTGAACAATATTCAACACTATATATTATGAATGTACGTTACAGGCAATTGCCAGCCACTGTGGGCACTCACCATCCCTTACTAACCCTATTTCACAGATGGGTAAATCAAGGCTCCCAGAGGCAGGGTCCTCAGGACCACGCAGAGTTTGTGTGGTGAGAGCAAGATTCGAACCTGGTCCCTGGGCCCTCCAGCCTTGTCCACGATCGTCAGTCACTCTGCCCTACACCCTTCTCCTCCCCCGCTGCCCGGCCTTGGCGCCTCAATGAGCCCTTTGTCCTCTGAGGGGCTCTGAGCTCCTGAGGGGTCCTCTCTGGGACAAAAGCTGGAGGAGAGAGGCTGCTTGGGGCAGCTGGAGGGAGCTCCGGAGGCACCGGGAAGAATGCGCTTTTGCGGGTGAGAGTCCCGTGGGGTCAGGCTCCCCCACCCCGTGGGGAGGGGCTGTAACGGAGAGGACAAAGGCCGAAGCAGCCACAGCTCCCAGTGGCATTGATCCCTGCGGCCCCCCAGCTCTCATACCACCGGCCAAACATGCAGGACGGAGCCCCAAGAGGAGGGGCTGGAGGACAAGAGTTCCCGCCTCCATCATCTCCCCTCCGGTCCTGCCTGAGGGCTGGAGGGGAAGCTGCCAGGAGCCACCTGTGCAGGCAGGGAAGGGAGGAGGAATATCAAAAGCCTCCCCCTCCCCAGCCTCTCCTCCCTGCCTTCGTAGCCAACACCAGTCAAAGGGATGGGGGAGGTTTGGCTGGGCTCTGCCCAGGGCAGGGAACAGGGTGGGGACTGTGGACAGGGCCCAGAACGGAGCAGGGAGAGTAGAAAGGCCCAGCCCCTCAAATCGAAAGGCTCAGCCTGCCCTGTGCTTATCACGATTGAAGCTTCCAGCAAGTGCCCAGGTGGCCTTGGCCAAGCGGCTTTTCCTCTCTGCATCTCAGCTTCCTTCTCTGGACAATGAGGCTCCTAATGTAATGATGAGCTATTAATACAATTCATCAGCTGTTGATATAATTCGCCCGCCTGAGGCCCCTGGGAGCGAGCATCGCACGGGTGTTTCCTGTTATCACTGTACCTCCATCTGCACCGGGAGAAACTGAGGCACATCACGGTTCACTCTACCACCACAGCAGCTGACCGGTGCCGAATGTTTGCTCAGAGCAGCCCCTGGGCGAAGCCCGCTTACCGCCTTGAGGCCTTACATCTCTCTGTGGTAGGTGCTAGAATTGGCCCCATTTTGCAGATGCAGAAACTGAGGCTCAGAGAGCAGCCGCCCAGCCAGCGAGCTGATGGACCATCTGCCGCCCAGCCCCTATCTTCCCCCTAGCACCTCCCACGTCATAGAGTGAGGCTGGCATCCTACCTGGACGATCAAGGGAGGCTGCCGGATCCAGGTTCCTGCTCTCCCTGACAAAACAAGATGGTCACAGGCCTTGCTGGGAGCTGGGAGCTGGGAGGTTATTCCTGTTTGCTCAAATCCTTACCATAGGTAAAAATAGAAGGAGGTGGCCCCCCTGCCAGCCCACAAACTCTGAGCTCCCTAAACGTGCATGCGGCCAGCCACTCACCTCCTGGGTGACCCTGGCCCCCAGCTTCCTGAGCCTTGAACGTGCAGGGTAAGTATCCGGCCAGCACTTGGTGTGCACTAAGGGATCCTAACTCTTGGCTGCACAGGTTCTGATAACAGGCAAGGGTGTCCCCCAAACTCCACTCCAGTTCACCTCAATGTCACAGCAATTATACCTCCATTTTTAACACGCAAAAAAGGGGATGGGTGGGGAACACTGGGCTAAATAAACGAACAACTCCTCCCAAGATGTAAAATGGGGCCGCTGCTTGGAAAGAGCATGGCGGTTTCTCAAAAGGTTCCGCCACGGGGGGCGGCCAGGTGATCCCACTCCCGGGTGTGTACGCCCCGGAGAATTGGAAACACGTGTTCCCACCAAAACCCGTACACGGCTGCTCCGAAGCAGCACTATGTGTGATAGTCAAGAGGGGAGAACAGCTCTAATTCCACCCGCCGGGAAATGGCTACAGAAAGCGTGGTATATCCAAACAGTGGAACTGCACTCGGCCATAAAAAGGAATGAGCCTTGAAAGCATTATGCTGAGTAGAAGCGGTCTGACGAAAGGCCACATAAATATGATTCCATTTATATGGAATGTCCAGACTGGGCAAAGCCACGGCAAGTCAGTTAGGGGCTAGAAGAAGGGGGATGACTGAGATTAACTGAAAATCAGTACGAGGTTCCTTTTTTGGGTGATAAGAATGTTCTGGAATTGGATAGGAATCCATGTTTGCACAACACTGTGGATACACTAAAAAGCCACCGAAGTATGCACGCTAAAGTCATTAAAATGGAGAATGTGGTGTGATGTACATTTTTGTATCAACTTAAAATTTTTCCCCAGGTTCCTGGGCCAGCTCCACAGGGTTATAATTGCAGAATTAGGGTCTTAAACCCATCCTCTCACACTGGGTTACCATTGCAGAATTTGGCACTCACCCCTGTCACTGCCAGCTCAGGTCAGCCTGGTCTGGGGGCAAAGGTTTGACCCCTCTCACGCGCCCTACCTCCGCTACACTCAGTTGGGGTGCCTCGGGTGGGGTCCTTCCCGCTGATCCCCTTGTCAGTGAGGGAAATCCATGTTTCACTCTGGTCTTGTGAATATTTCTAATCTTTGTTCAAAGCAGGTGGGATGGAATGTCCTTCTTGCACTTGCCCCTCGCTCTTGAGGGCTGAGGGTCCCTCTAACTCAGTGGCTCTCAACCTCCGGGCCCTTTAAATACAGTTCCCCATGTTGTGGCCCAACCATGAAATTATTTTCGTGGCTACGTCATAACTGTCATGTTGCTACTGTTATGAATCGTCATGTCAATATCTGATATGCAGGATGGTCTTAGGCGACCCCTGTGAAAGGGTCGTTCGACCGCCAAAGGGGTCGCGACCCACAGGTTGAGAACCGCTGCTCTAACTCCGCCTCCATCCCCTCCCAGGAGGCAGCCTCTCAGGCCTCCAGAGTTGTTGGTGCCCGAGAAGGAGGCAGCCATTCTGAGGGCGGACATCTGGCAAAGATGGGGTTTCTCTGCCAACATGGGAAGGCCAGCCTAGAAAGATGTACCAGCCTGCTGCCGGAGCCCCGGCCCTCCCTCCCGCCCCCCTCCCAGTACCAATATCCATCCCGATGTTACGGGCCCATGTCATGTGGGCCTTTCAGTTCTTGATCCTCTGAGACACGAATTCACTCACTCACTCATCCATTCATTTCACACCAACCTCAAGTCTCCCCAATGCCCATACCCGCTGCTCATCACTCCCTCACTTTCCTTCCCTTCCTTGGGTACAGAACATGATCATATACCACTGTCACTCTGAGCAGGAGACCTTTAAAGGTTAAAGAGACTTTTAAGCTCTTCCAAATTAAAGTGAATATAGAGGCCTTGTCCTTAAAACTTTCTATGCTGACGAATACGTCGTGACACATATAAAGAGAACTTTTAAAGCCGAAGGGAAGGAATGCAACACAACGGCTGCCACATTGGGGTCAATTTATATGCTGGGATGAATAGGATGAACTCCTATTCCTCCGTCAAAACCCCACCTGGACGTGACCTGCTGGAGGAAGCCTTCCCTAAGCCGCCTACACGGGGTTCATGAATCTCTCAGCGTAGTTCCCATCCTTTGTACCATTCGTTATGGGACATATTCCCTCACTTTTAACGTGTCTTCCTTTTCCCTCCATTCTCCCCTTTGTAGACGAAGGTTCTGCAATGCCCTCAAGCCTAAGGCTGCAGGTGTCAGAGTGAAGCTACTGCCCGAAGGGCAGCCCTGGGACAGCCAGGGCTTTTCCAGGTGTAAGAGCTGAAGCAGGCCTGGTGCCCACAGTGACCTTCAAGCCAGACGTTATCTGCTCCATTTTAGAGACAAGAAAACGGACACTGGGTTGAACCACTTGTCCTCCACGGCCCATGGCCAGACGCAGAGGCACCAGCAACCCGCCCAGGAGAAACAGACTCCCAAACGCTGTCAGCTGCGCCAGGCTCTGACCGTGTATGCCCGACGCTAACCATGTGTGCACGCGGAGCCCTCCTACGCTGCTGCGTCCACACATGCTGCACTGTCTTCTAGGACAACTCCACCAGCTAGACCCATTTCACAGACGAGCACACGGAGCAGCCGCACAACTCGCAGGAAGAGACAAAGCTTTCTGATTTCTGAAACTGGACTCGGAGACTCCGAAAGTAGCCACCACACAGCGCAGCCACCTGGGTCTCCCCATACTCCTTCCCCCCGATATTAATCAGATGCTATTCTATCAGATTGTCCTCCCAGGGGACACCGGGCAATGTTGTGGTTGTCACAAGGGGGTCGGGGGGTGACGGGAAGAGGTGCTACTGGCATTGCCAGGCCAAGGATGCTGATCAACACCCTACAGCGCAGCCCCCACCACGAAGGGTCCCCCAACCAAATGTCAATAGCGCTGAGCGGAGACATTCTGAGATGACCCACCTTAGCCTCGCATCACCACACGCATGTCCACTCACACACATGCGTGCACACACACAGGATGGCATCCAGACCTACGCTCTCATCCCCCAGGTAATTTGAAGAGACCTACAGGCAAAGGGGAGGTGTGGCGGGGGGGGGGGGGGGGGGGATAAGGCAAGCCCCACCCACAAACGTACCACAGTCACCATTAACGTCATATTTATTGTTATTTAGCTGCTCAGGAAAACATATACAGGTATATACAATATGCATGAATACAGAAGACTGCACTTTACATATTTTTTTTTTTAAAAAAAGAAAGAAAAAAATAACACTCAATTTCATGAGCTATTGTCACAGTCTTCCAACCAAGCATTTCAGAAATGAATTTCTTCTTAAGAGTCAAAAAAGATTACAGGATTGCCTAACACACAGCAGAGTTAAGTTTTCATATTTTACATGTGCAATAACGTTTTCATTTTCTTTTCCCGAAGAGTTTTGCTATGCAGTACCAATTACCAGTGTTTGGAATCTCCTGGGCTGGGTGTGTTTTTAATTTGCTTTTATTCTTTTCCATTTAACCAAATTTAATGAAATAACATCCTTTTGCTTAAGGCTATTTTTAAAGCTGTTCCATTCTGGGGTCCGGGGCGGGGGGGAGCGAGAAAGTTTTAAACTTCAGGGGTTTCTGAGGTTGCGAAGACCGCGAGCTCATGGCCAAGTGCCGATGGACTCGACGCTGGGAAAGTCAAAAAGACAGAAGTCAAGACGCTTGGCTCCCCGGCCTTAAGCAATTGAGGAGAAATCATTCCTGTTTTTTTTAAAAAAATAAAATGATGAAGCGGTCAAACAGCTGTACACGGCGGGATGGGAGGGGGCGTGGGGTTTTGCTCTGTCTGATTCCCCTGCAGCCAGCGGCAGCGGGGCGAGGGGCGGGGGGAGGGGGTGGACGTCTCCCCCCTTCTCTCTCCTTTTGACCTGAATCAGCTCACACACCTTCTTCTGATAACTTCACTCCGCCTGCTTCGGCCTGCCCTCTGTGGGCGGGGGGTCAGCCCCTGGTCACACTGTCCAGGCCAGGACCTTGCACTGTCCAGACTCCGACCGGAGCCAAAAGGCCAGCAGAAGGAGAGAAGCGGGGGTGGGGGAAGGGGGGTGTTATGGAAAGAGCAAGATTTTTCTGGAGGCTTTTCTCCCCTCCCTTGGCTGAAAAGTTTTTGGAAATAAACAATGTGGGTGTTGTATGGTGAGCCCAAAGCCTTCAGGTCACTTGCTAAATAAAAGCCAGGTCTGCAAACTCTGGGGACCTGGGGGGAGGGGGAGGGCAAAAGGGGAGATGAGATGAGGCTCAAAATGGGGAATGGTCGTTAACAAAAACCAGTAAAATATGGGCCGCCGATTTGGGTGGAATGATACCATTCCTATTGGTCACTTCCTATCTGACCCACCTTGGAATCTCAGTGACACCCCATCCCCCCAGGTCATTCAAGACCCTCATAAGCATCAACAGCACCCCAAGGTGCCTGCTCCTGTCACCCTGAGCTTCTGTGACCACACTCAGGGAGGACCAGGGAGCATGCCTTGAGGGGTCCAGGAGCCCCACTCGCCCAGCCCCCCTCATCACTTCTCAGAAAGTTAATTCTCCATGAGACACATGGGATGTGGCTCTGATTTTGCAATAGAGTGAGATGAAGTCAAAGGGGGGGGAGGTGGAATTCCAGGGTTCATAAAACAAGGCCCAGGTATCCACGTCATGAGTTATATTCCCTTTGTCCTCCCTCTGACCCCCAGCAGCCTGCAAAACCCAGCAAACAAAAAAAAAACCAACAAAAAAATTCCCAGGCTTAGAGTGGGGGGCTCAGCAAGCTGAACCAGGGGCTCCCTCCTCCTTTCCAGAGATGGGGGGGTGCCCAGGTTGGAGGTGATAAAACAGATCAGAGTGGGGACCCATGAGAACAGGTGGGGGAGGTACACCCAGGCCCCCCCCCCCCCTCCTTCCCTAGGGCTGCCTGGCTGGGAACAGCTGTCACCAAAGGTCCATGGCTCAGCATTGATTCGCCCCCAACTCCAGCGCCCAAGCCCCAGCGGCCTGGCTGTAGCAGAGCTGGAGGCCGGAGCCCCCCACCCCAGAGACTCTGCAGGCTCGAAGGCCCCCACCCCCCATGGCTGCTCAGCATAGCGTGAAAATTCGGAGCCCGGGCATTTGTGGAGAGGCCCAGAAAAGGAGAAAAAAACGCCGCTGTCAAGCGTTCTGAGTCCTTCCCGCAGAGCAGAGCGGGCTGGCCACGTCATCGCCTCGGTGCAGAGAGGGGCGGCCTCCAGCAGAAAGCTGGGCGTGTGTTTGCAGGGAAGAAAACCTCTCTCTCTCTCTCTCTCTCTCTCTCTCTCTCTCTCTCTCTCTCTCTCTCTCTCTCTCTCTTCTTAGGGAACAGACAAAACAAAATCCCCGGTGGAATACCTAAGGGGGGCACATTCATTGTTTGGCTCCTGCCTGACTGATGACAGTTGGATGTCAATATATAATATTGTGATGACAATTTGACTTTCACCCGGCAATATTCCAGGACTACTCTTCTCCAGGATTTCCATTTTAATAAGCAGTGAACAAAGCAAAAAAAAAAAAAAAATGGAAAAAAAAAATAAAGGGGGGAGGGTGGGGAAGGCGGAGGTGCGGGGGGGAAGAACGAGAATAAAAGAGAATTAAAAAGGAAAGCGACTCTTGTCTTATTATGAAATAACAATACTTGGACATACAGCAGCGTGGAAATAAAACAAAGGGGGTCATCTAAAAACCTTACGCCAAGATGACAGGAAAACGGGAATTATCTAAGCAAGGAAAAGGCTTAAGCAAAAGTTTGCTAACTGCAGAAGGGTTAATTTAACACTGGTAACATACTGTGGCAGACAGTTTCTCTTTTTAAAAAAAAAAAAAAAAATGTGTGAGGTGGTTCTTTTTTTCCCTTTAAATTAACCCTTTCCGGTCCATATGCCACTACGCAGGTACCAATCTAGAAAATAATTCGTTCACTAGGCAATAGTGGCCCTCTCCAATTCTTAGAGGGGAGGGGTGGGGTGGGGGTGGGGTTCAGGGGGAGGAGAGGGGGGAGAGGGCAGGGCAGGGCCTGGTGGGGGGAGGGGGCATCCTTGTCGATTCAAGTTAGGGCGGCCACGAATGTCCCGAATCTGTTGGAAATATCAGAGTGCAGGGACCGCCAGGTGGGCACGGAGGCTCGGGCCTTGGCATCGCCTACGTCGTCTGTGCAGTGGACAGACAGGCACTGCAAATGGCTGCCGGGCTGGGCTGCGGAGGCCTTGTTCGCGGGGAGGTCGTGGGCTGTGGAGAAAGAAGGAAGAGAGGGGTTAGCTTCGTGCTCAGCTCCTGGGCGGGGTGGGGGGTGGGGGGGCGGGCAGTGTGGGAGAGGCATGAGGAGAGAGGCAGCATGCATGCCCTCCTGTCGTGCCTGAAGGCATTCTGCAGAGATCCGAAGACGACGTCTGGTTAAAATGCCCCTGCTCTTGCCTCGGATTTGGCTGTGAGGCCTCAGCCAGCGAAGTCCTCCTGCTGGGTCGCCATTGTACACCCTTGGGAAATAGGATGGTTGGAAAGGATAGACTGGGGGTTTGCTCATCTCTGATGAACTAGAGTTCCCAAAAGATTAGCTGGACCGGAACCGAGTTGGGAAGGTTTCCTAGAGGAGGGGCATCTAAGCTGGGCACTGGAGGATGTGTAGGAGTTCGTCAGATGCAGTGAAAGGGTGCTAGGGAAGACTGTCCAGGTCCAGACTACAGCCCATTCTCTTGTCATCTTCCAGAAAGACATTTGCTAAGGGTCTACTGTGTGCTGGAACTTCCTTAACAAGGTGCCAAACTGCTCAGTGCAGTGAAGACTGAAAGTCTGGATTCCCCCAACCAGACCAATGCCCTTTGCCCATCTTCAACTGCCGTATAAAGGGACTTTGGGTGATAAGGGTGAGGGAGTCTATTCCTCCCTACATGCTTAGCAAAAAAATCCCTTCCATTTCCTTCTCACTCGGTCACACAGCACCAGAAACATCACAGGTCCTAGTGATGTCTGGATTAGACACACTGGAGGGAAAGGTTGTTTGACAACCATTCACACCTTAGTCTGAATTAGACTCAAAGAGCACAAGAACTCGGAGTTCTGAGGCAGGGAAGGAATAGAGCAGTCCTTATGGAGGACTGCTAACTTACTGCCCCCCGGTGACCAATGGTTCTATTCTGAGACATACTGTACATGGATGACTATTCTCATTATTCCCCTTTCATATAGCCTGAATCTCAGAGGAGAGGTGACCTTCCCAAGGTCACACAGCCCTGAAGGTGAATTTCTGATTCAGCAGACATGAGAAAAGCTGGGATTGGGGGCCCACGATGGGCCGAGAGAGCACACCCAGATACTGAACTCCGTAACCTACCCGCCCTCCTCGGCACACTGTGCAGGCCCCGCCAGGCCGGAGTCACCTCGCCCATCTCGCCTTCTGGGATTAAGAGTGAGGCCTCCCTCGGGAGCTGAGAAAATCCTCCCAGAGGGACGGGCCCAGGCAGCTAAGGCCAGGCTGTGACTAACCGGGTCTGGGGCCCCCACCCTAGAGCCCTAGAGACACCCAGCTTTGGGAGGAGCTGGGGCTGGAGAGGAAGTTCTCTCCTTGGCTGCTTCCCTCATTCATTCCATTCACAGGCCTTTGTGGAGTTCCGACCAGGGGCCAGGTGTGCGCTAGCCCCGCGGGTCCAGCAGGAAATGGGCCAGACGCTGTCGTCAGCCTCCCCCTGAGGAGCCAGCGTCATAGCACAGTCACTGTGGAGTCACAGACTGGGGGCTAGAGTCCCAGTCCCACCACCGCGTGCCGTGCGGAGGCATCTGCCACTTTCCCTGTCCCAGCCTCAGTTCCCGGTTGCTGAATGGGGGGTGACGTCATCACCTGGTATGCAGAGAGACCCCCACACAGGGCTTCTGGGACTGTCATTCGTCTCTGGGGAAGGTCAGAAGGCCAGGGGTCCTTGCACCCATCTAGAAGCCCCCAAGCCTCGTTCCCCTCCTTGGCAATGGCCAGATGGACACGCTCCTGTCCATGAGCTTGGAGTCTTCGCCCCCTTTCCCGGAAGGAGACGCTCAGGTTGTGAGCCTGGTTAGTGGCGGTGAGGCTGGGAGGCCGCGAACGCCAGAGCCAGGCTTCCTGGGGAGAAGGTAAGCCGGAAGCGAGTGGCCTCCGATTCAGGCTCCCCTGCACACAGTGAGCGAGCCCTGGGTTCTAGCGATGGGTGCACACAGCCTTCACACTTCTGCCCTGGGGCCCACGCTGTCTATACACCCAGTGACTCCGCTGCTCAACACCCCCAAGAGGAGTTCTGTTCCCAGCACTGCAAGATCCGGATTGGCAAGAGGGCTGGCATCTGCCGAAGAGAGCAATTCCAAGAGGGGCTCCTCACTTCTCTTTACACACATCATCTCCAGGAGCCGACACAGCAAAGCGTGTGCCCATTTCCCAGGCAGGAAACCAAGGCCTCTTGCCAATGTTGGCACCGCCCAAGAAAGACAAGACCCACACACCCAAGCTCCTGTCACCTGGTTCCCTGGCTCAGTGGCTGCAGCATCGGCATTTCCTGAGCTACAAGGTGACGCCTCTGCCACCTGGGTTTGCTGAGTGACGGTTCCAGATGGACCGGAATGGCCAAGCTTTCTCAAGATACTCTGTTCCCAACTCACAGAGGCAGCCAGACGCCAACACCCGAGACGGTTGCTCTTCTCACACAGGGTGGAGTTTATCAGCGCACAGAGGAGCCCTTTCATGGACTATCTAATCCCATCCCCTAGCAAGCCCAGCAGCTGGGTGACCCTTTTCCCCACTTCAGAGGAGGGTCCCTGGGGCTCAGAGAGGGTGAGGGGCTTGCCTGATGTCACAGAGCACTGGCGTAGGATTCCCTAGCTTCTGCCTGGGATGGACGAGGGAGTGTGGTATCCACGGGGAATATTTTGAAGAGGGAATATTATTCTTCGGTTCTTGACAACCCAAGCATGACCCAACGCATCCTCCCGCCGGATTCATTCCAGCTGGGGGGACCCAACACGCCCTGGGCCCGCGGCTCCCCCGGGCTGCCGAGTGGCTGCCGATAAATCAAGTCCTGCGGAAGCCGCCTCAAGTCGGGGCCTGCCCCGGCTCCGAGAGGCCCTCGTCCCTGCTCCTGGGGCGGCAGGCACGCCGCCCCCCACGCCAGGACCCAGAGATAAACCGCCCCCAGGATTGCTCGGCTCTGGCACAGGCAGACACCGTGGAACCTGAAGGGTGTTGTCGCGTTTCCCACGTGTTAGCTGTCAGCCTCCCCCATCAGACTGGCTGCCTGGGGGAGGGGCGGGCTTGGTATGTTCCGCACAGCAGCCCAGGCACCGCCGGCACTCAGCGGGGGCCTGTGCGCTGACTCTGAAGAACCTTTATCCCCACTTGACAGGTGGGAAGACTGAGGCTCCATGGGGCAGGGAGTGTCCAGGGCTTATCCAGGGCCAGGTTACCACCTAGGAGACCTGCCTTCTCCTTTTTGGCCCAGGACTCCTAGCGGTGGGGCCAAGGTGGACTCCTGGATCCCCCCAGACCTGGGCAGCTGGTCCCTAGCTGCAGAGCCTCAGTTTCCGCCTCTGTGACAGGGTGGTGATTCCTGGCGGGCCCTGTTCGGAGCAGCTGGGGAAGACCATCAAAAAGCCAGTGATGCTGTGCATACGGGGGGCGGGAGGCAGTCCCAGGGGGGAGGCAGGGCTGTCATCAACTCAGACTGTATCCCCCGGACTGTGCCTCACCCATGCAGCAGCACAGGGTGAGGCGAGGGGCTTCCGATTCCCAGGATGGAGTGCCTGCCCAGCAAGGAAGGACTCTGGGACAGTTTTAAGGACACCTTCCCATTGGCCAGAAGGGACCCCATCAGTCACCACACAGGGGCAGGGCCTGGAGCCGGGATGCCCTGCTCTCCCTCCCCTCCAAGGCCCTTCCTATACTTTCTTCACATGCACAAGTCCTCGCTGATCCATCCAGCCCCTTCCCAGCACCCATCCCCTCGCCGGACACCACAATTCCTTTCTGTCATTTCTGCCACCGACTTGATGTCACACGATGGAGGTACCGGCCGCCTCCTGCTCCCCCTGTTCCGCTCCCATCATGAGACCTGCTTTGGCTCTTGTCTCCCGCGCTCTCCATCCACAGCAGGGACAGTGGCTTCCAGGAAAGGGAGGACAGCCCGTGCCAAAAAGGCGAGCGCATGAATAAGGAATGCGGTCCCGGTCCTCTCTCAGGCCTCACCACGGAGGGAGGGCACCGGCCGTCTGCGGGGCCCAGGACTCGGCTCACATCATCCGGGCTCTCGGGGTCTCCGTCCGAGAAAACGGGGGACGTAACAGGACGGGCGGTCCTGGAGGCAGGTAGGAGGATCAGGTGAAATGATCCCAGGACAGGGCTCCGAGCGCTGCCCAGCACAGAGCGCGCTCCTGCCGGCGCTGGAAGCCCCGAGTGGAGACCCACAGGGCCGGCTCCGTGACCTTCTGCTGGCCATGACGGGGTGAAGGCAGAAGGGACAGACTGTATGTGTTTACCTGGGAACATCTCCTTGTTCATTTCCATCTGGAGATGCCACTCACCGAGGAGGCCAAGTTTCCTCTCTTTTATATATTTTTAACCCTCACCCAAAGATATTGTTCCGTTGATTTTTTTTACAGAGAGTGGAAGAGAGCGGGAAAGACAGAAAGGAATAGCAAGTGAGAGAAACACATCCGAAAGGGCCCGGGCCAGGGAGGAGCCTGCAACCGAGGTGCATGCCCTTGACCGGAATCGAACCCGGTCTGCAGGCCGACGCTCTACCCACTGAGCCAAACCGGCTAGGGCTCTTTTTTCGAGTCCGCAAAACAGGCCCGTCACCACCTTGCTCTGTATTCAATATTCCTGGGACCGAGTTCCCATGTGGGTGAGCCGCGTGCTCAGGCGTGGTGAACCCGTGGGGGACAGCTGCTCGCCCCCCTGGCTGACAATTGTGCCTCTGGGATTTGCAGCCATTGCTTCGTCCTCAGAAAGGGGACTTCTGCCCGGCTTCCTCCTGTCCCCAACTCACCAGAGGGAAGTGGTGGAAGTCAAAAGTGGGCTCCGGCGAGCACCGGGCCAACGATTCCCTGGGTGCTAACCCGGGGGAGGGGGGGGTTGTGATAGGGGGGGGTGGCTGGGCAAGGTGTTGACTCAGGCTTTAAATGGGAACCTACTTCCCGGGCTGTTGAAGGATTAAATGAGATAATGTGGGTGAAGACTTAGCATTCGATGAGCCCTCAGAAAAGCTTTCCTGCTC